AGAAAATATACAATTATAAGAATAAAAATCAAACAAATATAACAGGAAAAGATCAAAACATGAATAATGGAGAACAAACTAAAATGGTAACGGCTTATGTAAATGTGTGTATATGAAAGTATTTGTATGACAAGGTTGGGTTATTTTATGGAGTCAGTTGTTAATACAACAGGGGAAGCCGACATTAAAGGTGGTACTGATCATTATGAAACAAAGAACCTGAATGCAATTGAACTAAATCGGAAAGATATCGCATCAAAAATCCAAATTCCTCAGTGAGGGAAGTACAAATGTGAAACACAGCAATGATGTAAAAGAGCAAGTAACATGTAACTCTCCTGAAGAGGAGATTAGGTTAGTAGTTGCTAACGGCAGCTGAGTCATACTTGGGACTGTTTGTGGAGACGAAATGTTCATTATCAGCAGAACAGAAATCATGCAGAAATATGTAAAGATACAAATAAAACTACAAAATATCTAACACATTCTTGATCGCAATGTTCTGGAATAACACTAACATTTCATACACCACGATGACTATCTACAGATAAATAAGCAAACATCAAAGAAAGCTCCCATTCCTTAAGTAAAAACAATCATACAGGTATCAGAAGTAGTAGTAATAGTTAGTTAGTATAAGAGCACTGTACCTTGATTACAGTAATAGAAATAAAAGCCAAACAAAAGAACAAGAAAAGTAAGTATCAAAGCTAAAACAATAAAAGATGTGTACCATATGAGAGGAAACCAAACCAGAGAGACTATTTGTATGACAAGTCCAGTTGTTTTATGGATTTAAATGTTAGTAACACAACTAAAGCATCTATTACTGAAGATTATGAAACAAAGAACCTAAACAAAATGTAACTAAATCAGAGAGATATCGCTTCAAGTCACTAGTGAGATAAACCAAAGTACAATACGTAACAGGAGTTCAAACAACAGCAGGAAAAATCCAAACTCCTTGTGAGAAAACGAGTGGGAAGAACAAAGAAATAAGTAGACGGGAATGAAAAGAGAAGAGTGTGTGACCTTGGTAAGTGTGTTTCTTACCCCAAGAGGATGCAGCTATGTTAGTGGTTGGTTGGTTAGTAGTTAGCAGAAGTGAAGGAGTCGTTCCTGAAACTGTTTGTGGAGACGGAACAAGAGGAGAAAATAGAAGTGAGCAGGCCAAAAGAAAGAGAGAGAATAAGGAGGAGTTAGAAGGGATGAGTTTAATGGTAGTAGTATGATCGTGTTAGAGATGTAAAGTATCAGCATAATGCAAAGATATCTATACACTGTAAAGCCTAACAGCATGAACTAAGCTAACATAACTTAATCCTCCAAAACTAATTCCCATGAATTAAACCCAACTCAAAAATGAATTGTTGAAGTAATAACTCAGTTGTTTTGAGTGAACTTAAATTTCAAAAGTATTGATTTAATTCCAGTTTGTTCCACTGATTTATTTTCTTTAAGTTGACTTTAAGTGATCAAAAATTGAAGCCCCAAAGCCCCAAAGTGAATTGGCTACCGTTTTGATAAACGATGAATTGTAAATTGTTTTTATCTGCTGTTTTGACGTAATGTTATAATGTAATAATTTGCTTTAGTGGAAGAAAACTGAGTATTTAAAGTGTGTTAAATATCTAACATGATGACCAGGGTTAAATATCCATACCATCAAAGGTTCAGTTGTACACATAATAATTTAACCAGGTTGGGAAATGAACTTAATTTAATTGAATTTCCCTTCAGTTCTGAATTACCCCAGTTTTACTACTCAGACTTATTTTGGTTTAGCTTTTTAAGGTCAATTTTTTTCCACTACCGAGTGCATGGCACAACTGTAGGCCTACACCATTACATATATAGTTAAATTATTCATGTTCAGAAAAAATGTAATCAGTGGTGGTAGAATATGCTATTGTTTCAGTACCTGCCACCCAGATTAAAACTGAATGCACAGCATAAGGCATTTTGTAAGAAAAACTAGTCGTTCTTCACTCCAGTATTGTTGCTCTTACCATGCGTTGTGGGGTTAGTAGCTGGGTGGTTAGTGGTAGCAGATGAAACAGCTGACGTGCTGCTGGTTGTCTGTTGGGCTACAGGGGAAGTAAAATACAGATTATCAGTTTAATAGACACATGCTGTAGGTAGATTATGCACCAATCTGTGAGCGGGATTTTTTTAGACTTGTGAGTGTATGCGTATACTTGACTTGACCTGAAAACACACCTACATTGTGGGGACATCAATCTATTTTACAGGATACACGTTTTGAAGAAAGCATCAGAAGAGTTTTATGAAAACGGCTAAATAAAATAAAAAAAACTTGAGGTGAGTTTTTTTTTTTTTTTCAGAAAATGCGCTTACTAGTACACACAAACACTTTTTCCGAATAACTTCTTAATTAATACGGAAATGTCATATTTCTTTTATGGTTTTTCACCATTAGGCTTGGGAAGTAACAGATATTTGCATATTTAGTGTTGATGTAATCCAGAAGTAATGGAAAGTAATCAAGTTAAATTACTTTAATACTGTGATACTTGGATTAGGTTACTGGCTACATTTCTTAACAGGTAATTAGTAATTATATGGGATTAAGTTTTTAAAGTAACCCTCCTAACTCTGGTCCATTTGTGGCGTCCTCTTCTTCTGGTTTTCTGACTGGAGAATTGGTGCCACCTACTGCTCATCTCGTCAACTAACTCCTAACATTTGCATAATGATAGTGGATGGAAACAAGCATCCAATTCAGTATGTTGCGATGTTAAGTAGCAACAATATTGAGATATGGTTAGCTACCTTACCATGTGCTGTGCTGCTGGTTGAAGCAACGTTAGTGGAAGGAGATGCAGGGGTAGCAGTGCTGGTGGTGATGTCGGTGGTAGTGGCAGGCATAACTGATTAGCACAATGAGTAAGCAAGTCAGTATCACAAAACACAACCAAACCATGTGAATGGGAAAAGTTCCTATAGCCTGTTTGGTTATAGGTCCAATCTCAAAAGTCTTTCTTTATTCAGAGAAAAAGAAATGTTGATTGAAGAATTTTTGACATTTGGTGCATTAACTTAGTTTTCCAAAAGCATCTTTGGGTCAATTTAATTTCAAAGTTGATTGTTTTTGGAAATTCCTCAAATAGCAAAATTGGTCCCACCCAATGAGAGCCCACACAGCTCACTTAGCTACGCCAATGAGTTATAGTCCACATGTGGGCCACTGGTAGCCACACTGTAATGTGATAAGTTTTTTTTTTTTTTAATTGTTCTTTATTAGCAGCTTTTTTTAAAAATGTTACTAACTACATTTTTATTTATTTTTTTTTTTTTTTTAAGTGTATTAAATATCTAACATGATGACCGGGGCTTAATATCCATACCATCAAAGGTTCAGTTGTACACATAATCATTTAACCAGGTTGGGAAATAAACTGAATTTAATTGAATTTCCCTTCAGTTCTGAATTACCCCAGTTTTACTACTCAGACTTACTTTGGTTTAGCTTTTTAAGGTCAATTTTTTTCCACTACCGAGTGCATGGCACAACTGTAGGCCTACACCATTACATATATAGTTAAATTATTTATCTTCAGAAAAAATTTAATCAGTGGTGGTAGAATATGCTATTGTTTCGGTACCTGCCACCCAGATTAAAAATAAATGCACAGCATAAGGCATTTTGTAAGAAAAACTAGTCGGTCTTCACTCCAGTATTGTTGCAAAAAAAGTTTTTACATTCGCTTGAAGTGGGGTTTTTTTTTTCAGAAAATGTGCTTACTAGTACACACACTACTACTAGTACAAACACTTTTGGGGAAAAGTTCCTATAGCCTGTTTGCTTATAGGTCCAATCTTAAAAGTCTCTTTATTCAGAGATTTAAGTTATTAAAAAAAAAAAAAAGTAAATTCTTTGAACATTACATAAAATAAAAGATTTACACAAATTCAATTTTTTTTGTTCTTCATTAGCAGCTTTTTAAAAAACAATTTACTTACTAACTTGTGTTGTAAGTTACAGAAACATTCCTGATTAAATACTTTTTACTAGGTGTTTTGTTTTCACAGTACAAATAAAAATTAATTCAGTGTCACTTAAAATTACCAAAGCTACTTAAACAAGAATGTTTTTTAACTTACAAAATTGAGTTTAGTTTAACGTAAAATTTTTGATGCGATCAGTTTCAACAATTAAATCAACTTCTGGTTTGACAATGCATTTATGGCCCATAACACTAAACATTTGTCAAAAAAAGATTACTAAACAGGGCCAGCTATGGTCATACATTTGGCTGAGATGTCGCTGTGTCATGGGCCATATGTGACTACCAGATCTGGCCCACATGTGGACCGTAATTCATTGTTGTATTTGGGCTGAGTGTATGGGCTGGACCAATTTTGCAATGGGTTGACACTCAGTGAGAAGCTGCTTTTGTCTGCTTTTTTGTTAAAAACCAAGGACCCAGTGTTTCAAAAAATACTTTGTATTTCCTATCATAATTCAGTGGAGTCACGCTGAGTCGAGTGTGTCATAATAATACGCAAAATTGAACACCACTGTTGGAATATATTCTACAATAAATTTTAAAAATGAGTCTAAGTTTCAATTAAGAACACTATTGTTCTCATTTAGTATGACTTTTCCACCCTGAAAACAGTCAAATTTAGGGAAGAAGCATTCCATAACTGACTTTTTTTTGGTTCTAATGGAAAGTCTGAAGATGCAAACAACAAAGCAGCGAAGCAGATGAAGCCTTACCAGAGAAGAAGGAGCTGGTTATGCTGGTGAATGGGGATGAAGTGATGGAGGGGAGAACTGAAGATGACAAATCAAAGGATACAGCAGAACGAGAGGAACCACACATGGAAAACAAAATAGTTTTCATGTGGCCAAGTGCAGATAAGGAACGCCCGGTGCTCCTGAAAATACTTTCAACACTTTGATGACTTTTTATATGCGTATAAATAAAACCTCCCACATGCTTGTGTTAAAAATGAATGCGCCAAGTAAAGGGTATTTCCTGCTTCACCTGAGCTGCATATTTAAAACTCCACTGTGAACTGTCCTTTGTTACAACAAAAAAAAACATATTATCCAAATCAAAGAACAAGAGCAGATTTCCATTCACCACTGTAAACTTCTCAGACGGAAAAAGAATGACAGAAAGACTAATTAACTAATGAAAAGATTTGATTAACTCATTTTTCAATGCAGCGGTAGTGGTGAATTTATCTTGACTCTAAACCTCCGGAGTCAAACACGTTCATCTGGACCAATTTATCAGAGCAGAATTAGCAGAGTCATCTCCCATGCAGGTAGATAATGAATAATAGAGTGAAGAGAGTTCTGATTTTTTCTTTAGAAAAACCCATTAAGGATAATTGTTTTTTTGGTAATGACCTCTAAATGACTTCCATGAAAAGAAGCATACCTTTTGAATTTTATATGAGCCCCCAAATTTATCTGGAAGAAGGGGACTAAAAATGTCCCTTTGGATTTAGTAAAAGTTTTTCGATAAACTGTCAAAGGTTATCAGCATAGCAGCTGAATAACATAAATTAGCAGTTATGAAACAGAAAGAAGAAAGAAGGAGACTGAAAAACTAGAGTAGGGGGAGGAATAAGAGGGTGATCAAAAAGCAGGAAGACAGCGCTGGAGTAAAAAGGGACGACACAAGGAAGTGAAGAAGGAACAGCTGAAAAAGAGGGAAGCAGAAGGAAATTGGGAGAAGGCTGAGGAGGGCGAGGATGAGGGTTGCTTACCGTGGGTGGTGGCATTAGTAGCATGGATGGTGTTAGTGGAGTCAGTGGATGAAGTGGCGGGAGAGGAAGCAGCTGGCGGTAGTGACAAGGGGTTGGGATGAGAGAGAGAAAGATGCAGAGGATGATGAATGGTTGTGAAGCTGCATGATCATCTTCAGTGCAGAAACTTTAAAAGTAGAAATGCATTGCGGCAGGTTGCTTTTTTTGTATTTTCCGTCTTTTTTTTCAAGCGTTTGCCCCCAAGGGCTAAGAACCAGTAAGGGGCAGTAGGGCCGGAGTCAGAGCTACTTTTGAATAAAATTCTTCGGTAGTTGCTTTTTTTAAGTGTACAGTCTATGGTAGCCACATATATCACACTCTGTGACCACAGCCTATGAGAAAGCAATAAATGAAGAAATTCCAAAACATGGCTAATTGTGTCATGTGATGTAAATCAAACTTTTGCCATTCTTTGCCACTTTGTTAGCTAAAGTTTACTGAAAATGAAACTAATAATTTTTATCAGTGATACTGCGGTGCTGATGATTTGAAATGCGTTCCGCGGTTCATGGTTTGCCCACTTATTAGAGTTTGGTACCTCTCATGTTTGAATCAATACCAGTACTGGTACTGTAGGTAGTTCTGTTCGCTGATTTATGTTCAAGTGTTCCTTTTTCAGATCAGTTGGGTTTTAATTCGTTTTTTTGAAGGTATAAAAAGGAGGTTTCATGTCAGGATTGACAGGATTGAGTAGGCCAGGCATATGGGCAGGACTTTGATACCACAACACCAACCGCAATCACTTCTGTGCGCAGAACGTGAAGCCTGGCATGATGGATTCTTGCATGATCTTGTGATCTCAAGCTCGAGTCCAGCTGCCTCGTATGGTTACAGAGCACCTATTCTCTACAGGGGTTCAGGTGAAAGCAAAGCCTGGCATTTAATCAAAAGATCAAGACACTGACACCGGAGGTGCTTCTCTTTATGTGCCTGCACTCTATAGACCAAACCAGCTCAAGGATTTAACATATAACCCTGTGAGTGCTCTCCCATGGCCTGTTGACTTGCTTGGGTTGCCGTAGTCATTTATATTCTGGAAGACAAGCTGTAGTTTAATTGGCTCTTTTTCTCTCATGAGCACAATCCCACAAAAACTGACCTTTAGAAAAATGTCCCTCTGAAGCCTCCATAGTACAGGATAGTGTGAGAACTGACATTTAGAGAGTGGGGTTGGGTCACGTCGTCAGCTGGCCCCAAGCTTCTGTTCAAGTTCTAGTTCCAGATCACGTGACCTCCTGGAGCAAAGGTGATTGGCTCGAGTGAGATTTTCTTTAGGCCACGATCTGTGCATGGATATTATTCCAGTTTTAATGGTTTTGGCTGGACAGTAAGGGGCTCATGGCTGCAGCTGAACAGCACCCTGGGGTGGTTTTCTTCTGGTTCCTTCTACGTTCCTCTCAGGACATAGAGGGGTCATTTAAGGAAAATGTCATTAACAGACTCAAGGAGACTCTTTTCCACATTGTTTGGTGAGAGGGACCGGCAGAAGGTAAATGCTTATTGAACTGCAACCTCTGTACTTGCAGGCACTTGAACGGAGTATCTGTTTCCTAATTTTTCGACCAACTTGACTGAGATTCCTATCCTTGTTTTCTTCTGAAGGCAAGTTAATTTCATTTATACAGGCCAAAATCATAAATCACTTTACAAGCTGTAAAACGCATGACACTACCCTTAGATCCTTTATCTGGATAACAAAAACCTCCACAAAAAACACATATTCTTTTTCATTTATAAGTGCATTTCCATCCAACTGTTTTATGTTTGTGCATAAAAAAAACCTGTGTGGAAAACACCAGAAATGTGAATAAAAGTGAAAATTTCCACAAAAGGTTTTCAGCTTGGCTGAGGTGGAAAAGTTGGCATATCGCAAAACAAATCGTGACAAAGTGCAAAGTGTCATGAACCTCAGTATGCAGGAATATTCAACTGCCCTTGATTTCACATGCAAAAAAACTGAATGAGATTAGCATAAAGTTGGCCTGTCTGCAAAGGGGAGACTCGTGGGTATCCATAGAAACCATTTTCATTAGATATCTTGAGGTCAGAGGTGAAGGGATCCCTTTGAAAATGGCAATACCTGTTTTTTTCATCGCAAAATCTTTGGAGCATTATTTAGACGCCTTCCCAACATGCTAGCATGACATGTTTGGTACCATTGGATGCATTAGGTCATTATATCACTAGTTTAGCTTTCACTTGGGGTTGGCCAATCAGATTTCACCCCAGGCCCCCCATCTGAACATGCTCCTGGTCACTGAAACTTCTCACTAGACTAAAAACGGCGACAAACACATCAGATCTATGTGGAGTGACGAGGACACTGTAACCTTCCTAACATTTATACAGGAAAACAGAAATGTTATATTTCCATCCTGTTTTCCACATTGTTTTCCCGAGCTCTTATCATGAATTCATCTCGTTGTGTTTATCTCCATCATCATCTCATCTCTCTTATATAACAGAAGTGAATGAAAATTCACATTTTCCCATAGTTGTTTGGTTAATAAAACTGCTTCTTTTGTTTGATTAATCAACAATAATCAGTTTATAATCACATAAAACAGAGAAAAGCAGCAAATGAAAACACTGGAGACGCTACAATTTGTTATTCAGTTTTTTCTTCTTTCATTTTATCGTCCCCTCTCCTCTTTCCTTTTCTTCTTTTTGCCTCATTTCTCCTCTTACTCCCATTTTCTTACATTTTGTCTTTTTCATCCTTCAACACCCCACATCTCCTGTTCTCTTCAAACTAAAATCTTTTTACCTGTTCAGAGTAGTCTGACAGTATTGTTGGAAAGTTCGGAGGGAAGAATATGTGCAGGGCTTTGGGGAACATGGAGGTTCTGTGAATCAAATCCAAGTGTGGTTGAGGTTAAGACAGCTTCACTTGACAAGATATCCAGAATCCATTTTGGGGGTTAAGAAGCTTTAGGGGGTTCCGGAAACCTTGGGGGCGCTGGGACTCTTTTAACAAGGCACATATAGTAGAGACTGACAAGCTGAAAGGCAAGTGTATGGAACTGATGCTGCAAAGGTTGAGAGTTTGATTCCCACTGGGTTCACTTGCATTGAAACCTCAGTTAGATCGTGGTTGGCAGCAGGTTTAAGGTTCCGTTCTTTGTGTACTTGAATAAATAATTGAAGGTATGAATACTGACAGGGTTCTCACCCATGACAACAACACATGCACTCGTGGTACCAAAAGGTGCTTCGGACAACAGCTTTAACTTTCTGAAAACTTCTTAAAAGACTCAGCATGGCTTAGACGTCATGAAAGCAGGCATGGAAGTGAAATGAGCTTTATAGCTGCAAATTGTATGTATTGTATTGTAGAAGACTTACAGTACAGTACATTTGAAATAATCCTTGATGTTACTGGAGCTCAATCCCCAAACTGCCAAATATCACAAGGAATGGTAGTTATCGCTGACAGACAACAGAGTTCTGGGAAAAACTGACGAAGAAATATTTGACGGCTGTTCTGATGGATGAAATATAAATGTGAGAAGTGAAACTTCTGAGATAGTTGGAGGGGAATTTTCCAAGAATCTGTGAGGATTTGTCCACTTTCTGTTTAAAAATACTATCATTGGTTCATGCAGTAGTATCTGCAAACCTTATGTTCCCAGTTGAGTATTGATTTGATGATTTGTAGTTTAAATAATAAATTTGTGTGTCCACAAGACCAACCAGAAGTAAAAGACAGAAACAGGTGTGAAAGTGACCACAGACATTTACATATAACTGTTGTTTCAACGCTGTTTAAATAAAACCACTTCTAACTACAAATTGAAATTAGAGTTAACTTAAATGTACAAATGTCTCTCAGAAGTGCCTGAATTGGATCAAAAAAGGTGCCAGCACCCTAATTCAACACGACCCTAACCCTAATTCTTGTGGCGGTTTTATGCATTTTCAGCACAGTTTTCTCAGTAAAAGCTACATTCACTAGGGGTGGACGAAAATAGTATTGGAATATTTTATTTTGTGATATTGTATAGATTCTGATTGACTGCATCAATTTTAAGTTCTCCTAACCAGGCAAACCAACGGGTCCAGGGGGAGGTCTTCGCGATATGGCGATCGGAAAAACAGTCAAGCGTTACGTTTAGGAGTGTGTACCTAGACTCATCAGGAGGTGCCATTGTGCAATAAGAAGTAAGGCCATTCAGAAGCAACAGTACTCACTACCAATGAGTACCAGTCCATTTCAGGCACTGTCTTTAGGTTTTTCAGCATTTTTGCTATTTTCAATCACCAGTTGTGAAGACAGTGTCTACTATGCAGATGTGTTTCCTACCTGGGCAGCCCAGTCCGGGGGAGTCACAGCTGGTAGTGAGTGGTGTGATGCTGGGCAGGGAGACACCTTTAGGGAAAGGAGGGAAGATTAAAAACAAAAAGGTTAATCAGTTAAAATGATCGTGGGAACGTGGTTTAAATATTGCACAGGTTAGCAAGAAAAGTCACACATTAATGCACTAATATTAAGTCTGATGCATTCTTACAGAGGTATGGAGGGTATTATTACGGAATTGAATTAGATATTTGAGGTCAGTTGGTTAATCTGACAAGATATTTATAAGTACTTTTATATTATGAAATTGACCTTGTGTAGTTATTGATGTTTATTTATGTTTCTAAAATGATAATTATATTTCAAAAAGTCTGAGACATGGGCAGCTATTCAGAGTTCTGGATGAGATTATTTTAGCATATGTAGCATTTCAAGATTTAACCACATGCAGGATGAGAACTGCACCACACGACTAAATCTTTGCTTAAATGTTGCAAGCTTCAATGTGTTAAAAACTGAGAGTAAAGATTTCTGCACACTTAGATCCATGTAATGTATCACTTAATTTAGCAAGCTTTCGGCCTATCCGATCTTCATCAGAGCATATAAAATGCAAATAACCAGCCCCAATCATTGGCAGTACGCAAAACACCTGGGTTCAGCCTGGTGGCAGAAGCTCCACCTGTAGGGAAATGTAGTTTCCAAGTGTTATGAGGCAAACAAGTTGAAGTCATACTTGTTACAAAACACAAAGGAATACAGAAAAGGGTGTGAAACACAGTGAATATAAGAAAACATAAAATGCTAAATAAAGTGATATATTGCAAGTGTGCGTAAATCTTCACGTTCATGATTAAACGTTTTATGTTATATTTTAGAGAGAACATGGGGTGAAGAAGTTAACATGAATAAGAGGTCATGCTACCAGCTTTGAGAGCTAAATGCTAAGGTGTGTGTGTAATAAGGGAGATACCGCATTGGAGGCCGGGCTCCATTTATTCTTACGGAATCTGCTCAGTGGCGCATGAAGCTGAAAAAGATAGATTTCTGCAAATAAAATTACCCAAACTGTGAAATATAATATTGTTCTTTACCATGAATTACAGGCTGATAATTTCAGTAAATTCACAGTGGCATAAAGTAATTATTTTACATTATGAAGATCACAGTAATGTATTGTGTTTCTACATGAACCATTAGTCATAATTTTACTGTAAAATTAAACAATTTTGATGTGAAATCTGCCTGTAATATTCAAATAATGATCCATCATGCATTGCAAAAATGTCATTACAGTAGTTTATTGTGAGAATTTATTGTGAAAACCTGGTTAACAGTGCAGATCTTCCGCGTATGCTTCCACATTCTGAGGCCCATAGAGCCCATTAGAGACTTCCATAAACTGAGCTGCTAACTTCCAGTTTAGCTCTCTTAACTTAAATGGGGATAAAATGATCGAATCATGCGGCTCTTTTAGACTTTCAAGTCATTGAAAACAAGTCATTTCGAGGGTTGTGACACGTGAAAAAATGGATCCACCGTTTTACAGCTGCTTCTTTCACAATGTAAGCTTATCGATGGTGTTGCTGTAATTACACCGTTTGGCCACTAAACGCCACTCCTTCTGGGGGCTTGATGCAGGTACAGGTATAATGGTTACCATGTTTACTGTCTTAGTTTAGCGTGTTAGCATGGTAACGGTTGGCGGTGTTGCTAATTAATTGATTCATTGGTATTTGGATTAAAAACCAAATATTGGACAAATTCACAATTTGATGATGAATGGCGTTTTAGAGGAAAGTTAAGGGTTACCAAAAGCCATTCATCCAGTAAGTGTCTGTAAGAATATGTGCTGATCCATCTAGCAGCATGTTTGAGCTAATTTCTCAGGATAAGGTGGAAACTTTGCACCTCTTGGTGGTCACAAAGGATCATCAAAGTCAGAGGATCAATCACTGGCGACCATTCAATGTCTGAACCCAGTTTAAATGACATTCATCCAATAAGCTGCTGGATGATTTCAGAACCCAACAAGTTGGTGGACGAGCCAACACACACAGCCATTCCAGTAGGCAACCTCACTAGTACGGCTAAATAGGACAACAGGTACAGGAAGGTAAGTGGACTGCAGTTATCCTATCCTATATTGTATCTAAGAATAGCACATAAGTTCAATTTGGAAGTAGTTATTTCTGGGCAGACAAACTTCCACCAAAAAAGCAGGTTAGCAGCTGAACAAAAATCTGTAAACTGTATGCTCATATGATCCATCCATCGAATCGCATGTAGTCTCTTAAACTTCAATCCAG